CACTCTTAAGGGACACTCTTGTGTGACACTCTTGTAAGACACTCTTGCGGGACACTCTTGTGGGACACTCTTGTGGGACACTGTTGTAGGACACTCTTGTGGGACACTCTATCTGGGACAGTCTTATAGGACACACGCTTCGAGGCTGCAAGACGAACGTTTCGTACGAGACTTCCTTCAAAAGTCACACGTCAAGTCTCCAAAACGAGCGTTTCGTACGAGACGTCCTCCAAAAGTCACGCGTCAAGTCTCTAAAACGAGCGTTTCGTACGAGACTTCCTCAAAAAGCCACGCGTCAAATCTCCAAAACGAGCGTTTCGTACGAGATTTCCTCAAAAACTCACATGTCAAAGTCTGCAAAACGAGCGTTTCGCACGAAACTTCCTCCAAAAGTCAAGCGGAATCACCCATCGGAGCCTACCCATCACACAGCCCTACCAAGCAATTTCGCGATTCCAGCCCCTCCAAACCACACCCGCTCCGTCACGCCTCGCACCCTCACGATTCCCTACCCCTGCCACGAAAATCGCACTTTCACACCTCAAAAGCCGCACAAAGTACTGCGCCTACCACGAAAAATGACAATATCATCTTATGTGAACTTCAAAAAAATTTACACCACACCACACATTTGGAATGATTTCGACCCGTAATAAACAAACTCCCATCCACCAAAATCGCCATTTCAACTAAGACTTGTCACAAAAACCGAGCTTCGATGCCACACCCTAAAACGCAAATCCCAATGGCACGGCCACATCCAACACCCCTGCAATAGAATTCTCCAAATGCTAATCCCAATGGAACTACGCACCAATCTACGGATCTCCTATACAGCCAAATGCATCACGCTTCTTGCACGATATGTCATTGTTACGTAAATCATAACAAAATAGCGGTGCAAACTAACACGTCATACATCCATGCAAAATTACTTGCAAAAATTTCCCCAATAGCAACGCCTTAACGCCCTACTACCGTAGAAACAACGACTCACGAACAAGCCTCTACCCCCAGACCCCCAAAATTAAACAAAAACCCTTCGCTACGCATTCGGATTTTTTTTTTAGAATCCTTAATTTAGTATATATATTGATTAATTAACTAAATATAATTCAAAATCAATATCATCCAAAATTAAAAAAATCATAATAAAACAATATATAAAAAATACATCAAATTTATTTCCACCCATCCTAAACCCAAATAAAAAATCCTCGCCCCAGACTCTCGAGAATGAACAAATAAAAATATACAAATATTTATAAATAGACATTATTTATCAATATAACAATTACAAATATTATCGAGTACCAAAATAACGATTTAATTCGAAATAGATCATTTTATCAAAAAATCAATTAACGATCCATTTGTTTTTTAATAACCACGTATATTATTTATTCAAAAAATATAGTCCAATATAATTTAAATAAATAAATATATATATATATCCGCCGACCCCGGCCGAAGTAAGGGGGAGAGCGCCAGGGACTACAGGTGGGGGATGTTCTACGAGGCTCGCTTCCCGCCAGAACTAGATGGGGAAAAGCCGTGACGAAGTCAGTGCTCGGGCCCAGGTTCATAGGGTCAGGATGGGCGAGAACATGGGTGAAAACCAATTCTTTTCTAGGG